CCCTTGTTGCTCGGCCGCCGTCGTGCGGGCCAGACGCGAAGTTGGCGGAGTTTGAGCTCACCCGTGCACTTGAGAAGAGCTGTAAGCCCCACTCCTGATGCGGGACGAGAGGGTCAGAGGCCACGGGCCGGGACGCCGCCTTTCAGGACGCCTGTTTTCCATGTGCCGAGGCTGAGGTCCGAAGAGTGGGATCGAGGGGGAGGCTGCGCGGGGTCCCAGCTCAGCACCGGACCTGCTGATTTTCCTTGAATTACGGCTTCCAAGATCTTTACTCTGCCTTCAGACTCAGAAGGGAATTTTTTACAGGTTCCGATACTCAGCATGTCGGGTCTCCTTACTGTATTGACAGCGACGCGTAGCAATGCCACTTACCAGTGAGGGGCCTCTAAATGCAGCCTGGTGTTCCTCATTTATAAACTGTTCAAAGGGCGCGACTAAGTCATGCCCTACATTTGGAGCACAAGCGTTTACTAGGCAGGGGTGCGTTAGGAGGCAGACCGGCCCCTCCCCCACTTTGATAATAGGTACTAAGACCTGCTCCAACGACTAAGCAGGCACAGCCGAGGACTTGCAGCCCATCACTTGCGTGTCAGTCCCAGTGTACAGCTGAAGGGGGTCGGGGTGAGTGCTTTGCCTGCCCACCGTGCTGCTCCAGCGGCTGTGTGCTCTGAAGCTTGCCCGCGTTTCTGAGCTGTGCCTCTCGGTTTGCAGGTCTGTATTTAGCAAGGTCATGCATAGCCATGACTGAATGAGCCTTCTGATGCAGGACTGGGACTCCGCAGGGTACTGGCTAGTGGGAATGTGAAGAGTACTCCGTTCCTGTGTTTTCACAGAAACTTAGATATTCGGGATAGAAAAACGGCCTTGCATTGGAGTAGAAGTGGAGTTTTCAATTCGGGAGACTGAGAAAGGATGTGGAGGACAGGCTTTAATTGGTTTAGCTTTCCAGTTAACGGTAACCCTAACAAGACAGGTAGAGACATTGCGCTGACCTCGCTGGCGCAGGGTTCCTGGTGGATCACACAGGACATTCGTGTTTCCAGCACTGTGCACTCATGTTCAAAACTGACTTACACTGAGTGTGAGGGGAAGCTTGCTCCTTTCTGGAACCCTCGATGATGTGCCTGAGCTGTCCCGTCCAAGCTTAAGTCGCTGATGGCATAACAGTTATGTTGCTGGACTCCCGTGTAGTCAACTGCAGTTCGAATCCCAGACCCAGAGGCTTGAAACTCATTCCAGACGCGTATGCGTGTGTGCCCCAAATCCCAAGTGGAGAATGGGGAAGGGATTGTGGCATGGGCATCTATCCTGAGGGGTGGCTTCTTGCTTTCTGTCTCTATCTAAATATATCCGGCAAGCACACACGCCCTATAGTAAAAATATCTCTTAAAAAAAAAAAAAAAAGGGACCAGCGGTTACATTGCTGGACTTCCACATGGCTGATCATGGTTCACCTCCCAGATGCGGTGGCTTGAAACTCACACCAGGCACATGTGTGTGCATGCTCAAAATTCCAGGAGGAGAGTGGAGAAGGGATTGCAGCAGCACCATTCCCTCCAGGGGTGATTTCTCAATTTACCTCTCATTGTCTCTCTCTGGAAGTGCACACGCCGTGTGGCAAAAACCTCTTAAAAGAAAACTATGGCATCAAAACAGTGTCTAATTAAAAAAAAACAAACAAACAAAACCAGTGTCTAATGTTCTAATTTTGCTAGATATAGTCATCTTTATTTACTTTAAGAAATGTTTCGTTATTATTTTTTAAAGAATTATTTAATGTTACTTATTTTAATTTGACCAGAGAGGGACAGAGTGAGTGAGGAGGAGGGGAATGATAAAACAAGCTACCATGTTCAGGACTCGAACCGTGGTTAGCTGTGGGAGTCCAGCACTCTTAACCACCACACAACCTGCCAGCCCCATCTTTTTTTTTTTTGGAGAGGTTTTTTGCTATAGGGTGCGTGTGCTCGCCAGACAGAGACATAGAGACAGAAAGCAAGAAATCACCCCCGGACGGATGGTCACGCCACAGTCCCTCTCTCGGGATCCTGGGCATGCACACACAACGCACCCGGTGTGAGTTTTAAGCTGCCGGGTCCGGGATGCGAACCACGGTCGACTACGTGGGAGTCCAGCGACATAGCCATTGCACTAACTGCTGGTTCCCCCTATCATTTTTTAAAAATTTTTTATAAGAATTATTTAGAGCCGCAGGTAGCACAGTGATTTTGGTGAGCTCTCACATGGCCGACCATGGTTCAATTCCTGGACCTGGCAGCTTGAAACTCACACCTAGCACGTGTGTGCACGTGCCCCAAATCCCAAGAAAACAATGGAGGAGAGGGGATTACAGCCATCCCCACTGAGGGGTGATTTCTTGCTTTCTGTCCCTCTAGCTCTATCTGTCTCACCGTTGAACGCATGTGCCCTTTAGCAAAAGTTTCTCTTAAAATAAAAAAAAAAAGATTGGGGAACAAGAGGAGGCAGAGAATTGTGTTCAAAGGCATCTCTGAGCCCACCGAATAGGTACCATGAGCAGACTCACCCTCTTGAGTTGGAAACATGTATGGGCAAGAAGTTGTCACTGAAGTTAGATGGTGGCAGACACGTCCCAGGGTTGTGCAGGGTCCGACTCTTTATGAGTGACAGACGAGTGTGGGATGGCAGCTAGAGGCACCTGGGATGGTGGCATGCAGAAGCAGTGTCTCACATTGCGAAGTTTTGGAATGCGAGTAAGGGCTATTTAACACAAAAATCCATGCCCCCTCTCCAGTGGGCCTGTTCACTATGATGTAAAAATCAGGTCATGTACATATTTTTCTGGAGAGGTTTTTGCTATAGGGCACGTGTGCTCGCCAGACAGACAGAGAGAAAGTGAGAAATCACCCCCCAGGGGGGATGACCATGCCGCAGTCCCTTCTCCTCCATTCTCCTCTCACAATCTTGGGCACGCATGCACACGCGCCTGGCGTGAATTTAAGCCACTGGGTCCGGGACTTGAACCGCGGTCAGCTATGTGGGAGTCCAGCGACAGAGCCATTATGCTATCTGCCGGTCCCAATGTACATTTTTTAATACATTTTTTGTTAGGTAAATGTGAAAAAAGATTTAATTTTATTTATTGTTGCTATTTTTATTTGACCGGGGAGAGGGAAAGTAGGGAAGCAAGCCATGAGGTCGGACTCAAACTGTGGTATGCTCTGCGGGAGTCTACACCACCTGCTGGGCCCCAAAACTTGCTTTTTTCTTCCCGTTTTTGCTATAGGATACATGCACTGGCCAGAGAGAGAAAGAGGGAAAGTGGAAAATCACCCCCAGAAGCGTGGCCATGCCACAGATCTGCTCCCTTCTCCTGGGATTTGAGGTGTGCCCGTGCACACGGCTGGTGTGTGTTTTTAAGCCTCGATGTCTGGAACTTGAACTGGGGTCAAGTTAATGACTATACCACCTACTTGCCCCTTTTTCTTTTCTTTAAAGTTTATTCGTTTCTCTCTTCCATCAGAGACAGGGAAATAGGCAGCCCAGCCCTCACCATGGCATTCTCTCCCCGCAGCCCCAAGCAGCCTCAACCACGGGCCTTACCCCAGTGCAGGCAGGCCTGGCAGGGTGCGGGGCCTTCCCGCAGAGGCTGGCCTTGCGGAGTGCCGCGGGCAGCCGCTGAGGTCCTGCAGGAACCTGCTCCTGGAAAGAGGCTTGCTTTTGTGACATGAGGACAGCTGTGACTGTCCAGCTTCCTTTTCTTTTAAGAATTATTTTATGTAACTTTATTTATTTAATTTAACCAGAGAGGAACAGAGAGAAAGTGAGAAAGCAAGCCACTGAGTCCAGGACCCGAATTGCGGTCGGCCACATGGGAGCCCAGCGCCCTTAGCCACCATGCCACCTGCTGGCCCCTGAAGTAACTTTTCTTATCCCACAGTGGGCAGGGGAGGAGCAGAAGGCACAAGCCTGCTACCACTTCCCCGGCCCCGCCCCCACATGTCCTCATGCAGTTCTCACCCAGGCAGGCAGGGGCTTCTCACAGCAGAAACCGGGCCACGTGTGGGGTGGAGCGTGGCGGCAGGGACAAGAGCAGGTGGGTCAGGCGTGTCGTGCTCAGCCCGCCAGGCCTGTGAGCCTGCCCAAGCCTGCAGGCACAGACGCAGCTTCCCAGAGGGTCATCTCTGACCTGGAACCATCTCTAACTGTTCAGGCCGCTTCGGAACAAGAACAAGCTGTTTGACTTGACACCATCGGGACAGGGAGAGGTGTCCCTCATCCTGGCTGGTGAAGAGGTGCCAGGCCATGCAGCTGGGACGGCCCTGGGGTCGGGGTGGTGCTTGATGCCGGCTCTTCTTCACAGGTAGCTTTTGAAAATGGCCGCCTCTCACTCCAGCGGGCTCACGGCCGTGGCCGATGTAATTAAAGATCTAGACACTCAGATAGCTGTAAGTAAGCACGGGAGGCCTGTGGGCAGAACCCGGTGCGTGCACTTCCGACCCGGAGGCGCCGGCTGGGTCAGCCCGTGACTCTCAGGAGTCTGGGCTGCTTTGGGCCTGGGGTCTCTGCATGTACTCGCAGGTTGCCAACACTCAGAGAAAAGTGCTCTCGGTGGTAAAAAGCTGACTCGTAACAGTTGCTAAAAGGGCGTTTATTTGGCGTAACCCTGACGAGGACGCAGCACGTCCCGAAATGCCGGTATAAACTAACGTGTGCGTATGCTGTCACTGTGACTTACATGGATTTAACATTATCTGATGCTTAAATAATGCATGGAGTACTGAAACCGAGTATTCTGTCTTTACAAAGTCCTTGAAGGATCTTGCTTGTCCTAGTTTTTTTTGTATGCAAGAGCCCTCATTTCATTCACTTGCCTCAGTGTTGGGAACTAGCGCAATAGCTTTTGGAGAAGAGATGGTTTCTGTCTGTCTGTTTTTTTTTTTTTTGGAGAGATTTTTGCTATAGGGCGTGTGCACTCGCCAGAAAGAGAGAGAGAGAAAGTGAGAAATCAGCCCCCGGGGGGGTGGCCACGCCACACTCTCTGCTCCCCTGTTCTCCTCTTGGGATCTTGGGCACGCACGCACATGCGCTTAGTGTGAGTTTAAGCCACCAGGTCCAGGACTCGAACCGCGGTCGACTACATGGGAGTCCAGCGACATAGCGATCACGCCAACTGCTGGTCCCAGAAGAGGTGGTTTCTTACTTTCAGCTCAGAGCGGTGACTGCTCCTCATGGCTTCAGGTGTAGGTATCTGACGGCCACATCCCAAGATGCTGCGGCCCGCGCCGTCTGGGAGGCCTCATATAACATTAGTTTTAAACCTCTTCCTCACAGGTCTTCTGAGCTCATTCTTGAATTTCCCTTCTCTAGTTGCTTGGCCTTGGTCCACACAGCGCCAAGAAGAAACAGGACCTCGATAAGCTCCATGAGCTGAAGTGCAAAGCACGGCAGATTATGAACCAGTTTGGGCCCTCAGCCCTGATCAACCTCTCCAGTTTCTCATCCATAAAGCCGGAACCAGCCAGCACGCCTCCGCAGGGCTCCATGGCCAACAGCACCGCAGTGGTGAAGGTACCAGGCACCCCTGGGGCAGGAGGTCGTCTCAGCCCGGAGAACAGCCAGGTACCCACCTCAGAGGTCTCTGTAGACACGCGTCTCGGCTCTCTGGGCCGTCATGCTTTGGCAGGTGTCTGTCACAGATGCCGCCTTGCTGCCTCAGCTGTAAAAGGTCTTTTCCTTTTCTGGGATGCTGACGTTCTTTCTTTCTTTCTTTCTTTCTTTCTTTCTTTTTTTTTTTTGAGAGATGTTTGCTATAGAGCACGTGAGCTTGCTGGAGAGATAGAGAGACAGAAAATCAGAAATCACCCCCAGGGGGATGGCCACGCCACAGTCCCTTCTCCTCCATTCTGCTCTCAGGGTCTTAGTCTTGCACGCACATGTGCCTGGCGTGAATTTCAAGCCTCTGGGTCTAAGATTTTTAAACTGCCATTTTCCACGTGTGATTCCAGTCCCTTAACCACTACGCCACCTGCTGGCCCCCCTTTTTTCTTTTTAACTTGTTGAGGGACATGTGCATTTGCCAGAGGCAGAGGGAGGGGTCAGAAAGCATTCCCGTGGGACAGCCCCGCCCAGTCCCGTCTCCGTGTTTCCCTTTAGGATGTAAGGCATGCACACACACATACCTGCTGTGGTTTTGAAGCCACCATGTCCAGGATTTGAACCACTCTGTCAGCCATGTGGGATCCAGCCGCCCTAACTGCTTTATCACTAGCTGACCCTCTAGATTCTTTGTTGAATTACTGTGTATAATGATTATCAGTTCTTTCCTATAGTTGCCAGAGAGCGTGGATGCTTGACAGAGAGAGACAGAGAGAGAGAGAGACAGGAAGGCAGCATCCTCTTGGTGAGGCGCGGTCATACCGCATCCGCTTCTCCTCATTCCTCCCTCCTGCTGGGGTTGTGGCCATCACTCACATGTATGCAGCACGGTTTTCAAGCTACAGGGGCCAGGACTTGAACTCTACTTGGCCGTGTGGGATCTGGCTCCCTTAACTATGAGGTTGCAGGGCTAGCCCCGTCAGTTTTTACCGTCTGCGTGTGGATGTGTGTATGGATGCACTTATCTGTGCACATGCGTGCACTAACATGATCCTAGCTTAAGACAGGTTATATTTTCCAGTTTGTCGTGGGGTGTGTGCCCTTGTGGGAGAGACGGAGAGGGAAGGTGAGAAGGAACTTTCCCACGGGAAAGAGAGGCCTTTCCCGGGGTGGGTGGTCAGCTGTAGCGCCTCCCCATTCCCCTGCACACACGTGTGCCACACCGTCAGCTCTGGGGTCCCGTGCCTTACCCACCGCGCATCCCTAGCTGGATGTTTTACGTATGTTAGCTGTGTACTTGTTCAATACGGTAGGCGTCTCTCTACTCCTGCAACACACTAGAAGGACCTCTGCCTCCAGGCCTCGCCTCTCCCAGTGCAGTCAGCCGCCGCCACTCCTTTCCTGCCGTCCCAAACCTGCTCCTCCTGGCCAGCAGGCCGTTTGGAGGTTAGGGCGGCTCCAACCCACATGGCTGACTGCGGTTCCAGTCCTGGACCTGGTGGCTTGAACAGCATGCTGGACACGTGTGTGCATGCCAGAGAGCCTGAGAAGGGACAGTGTGACACCCCCCGGGGGGTGATTTCTCACTTTCTCTCTTCCTTTCTCTGTCACATGCGTACTCTCTTAGCAGAAACTAAAAAACCAAAGCAAAGATCTGCTCCCCTTCAGTGGCCCTGGCCCCGCCCTGCGGAGCTGTGGGAAGTAAGTGTCATGCTTTGCCTCTTGTTTTGCAGGCTCCAAGGCTGGACCAGGACAGCCTGTCAAGGAAGTGGGCGAGGGACGAGCAGCGGGGAGTGGGGGAGACTGGGCACGTAGTCAGGAGCCCAGCAGACATGGGCAGAGTTGATGGAAGCGAGGCAGGGAAAATTTCGCAGTGGGGTTACAGTGGGACAGCGTGGGCCTGTCCTAGTAAGTTTCCATTGGAACTTTTAGGCAGAGGATACTCTACAACAGTCACCCGAGGAATAAGAGTAATAAAGGAGTATGTCTTAGGGAGGGTGAGCTTGGCAATAAGTGGGTCCGAGGGTTAAGAAAGGGAGTAGGCTGAGAGGGAGGCTGATGCTTTTCGTTTCATTTATTTAAATTGTATTTATTATTATTACTATTTTAAAATTTCTTATAGGGTACATACACTCACTAGAGAGAGAGTGAGACGGCAAGCTGCCAGATCGGGGACTTGAATCATGGTCAGCCATGTAGGAGCCCAGCGCTTCAACCCCATACCACCTGCTGGTCACAAGGAAGACTGAATCTGACTTTTGCAATAAATTAAGACATGTGGGCTGGCCTGGTGGCTAAGGTGGCTTCATCCCACGTGGACGGCTCCACAGTTTGAGTCCCACACCCGGAGGCTTGAGAAACGCTCCAGGCACGTGAATGCGTGTGCTCAGGTTCCTGGGAGGAGGGCCAGGCTTTCTGTGTGCCAGCCCACGGGGTGCTTTCTCACTCTCCTGTCACTCTCCCTTTCTTTCCAGCAAGCGCACACGCCTCTGGCAGATTTAAGACCAAAACCAACATACACAGTAAGGGCTTGAATTAGGTGCCACAGCAGAATGGAGAAGAGTGGATACATCTGGGACGCTAGTAACAAATACGTGTTTTGGGGGACCAGCAGGTGGCGTGGTGGTTAAGGGGCTGGACACTCTCACATGGCTGACCATGGTTCAAGTCCAGGACCTGGGAGCTTGCTTTCTCACTTTCACTTCCTCTCTTTCTCCCCCTCTGTATCTCTCTTTGGTCCAATTAAAATACATTAATGAATAAGTAAAACTAATTGAAAAAACTTAAAATCTTTATTTTAAAATTGTCTTCTTTTTTCTTTATTTCCAAAGTTATACTTGTTTCTTAAATAAAAGAATACACAAAAAGTAGATCTGGGCAAGCTGATGGCGTGTTGGTGAAGGCAGCTGGACCGCACAAGGCTGACAGTGCAGTTTGATTCCTAGACCCAGCAGTTTGAAAAAAACACTAGGAGCGTGTGTGTGCCTGCCCTAAGTCCCTAACGAGAACAGAAGGGAAACAATTGCAGTGTGGCCACTACGTCTAAGGGGCTCGCCTGCTTGCTCGCTCACTCTTGTGCGCGTTCGCTCTCGCTCGCTCTCGCAGACATCAGACATGCACTGTATAGCAAATTTAAAAAAAAAACCAACAACAATGAATAGCTTATAATTCTTACAACACCCAAAAATAACCATGGTTAACATTTTAGTATATGATTCTATTTTTTGTTTTTATTTTTATTTTTTTTTTTTTGGCCATAGGACGTTTGCACTTGCCCAAAAGAGACAGAGACAGTGAAAGGAAAAGTGAGAAATCACCTCCCCACAGGGATGGCCATACTACAACCCTTTCTCCATTCTCCTCCTAGGATCTTGGGCTCACACACACAGGAGCTGGCATGATTTTCAAGCCATCAAGTCCAGGGCTCAGACCACAGTTGGCCATGTGGGAGTCCAGCACCTTAACTACCAGTATGTATCTCTCCATTTTTGCTAGACGGCATGTGCATTGACCAGAGAGGACGGGGAGGGAATGGAGAAAGCACCCACCATGGGGATGGCTGCACTCTGAGCCTTTCCCGTCTCCTCCTTCATTGCAGATTTGGGGTGCTCATGTGTGCCCAGTGTATTTTTGCTTCTGGCATGTTTCCCGTGCTCTTGGGTCTGGGACTCAAATTGCATTGGGCCATGTAAGATCTGACTGCCTTGGGAGCAGGCAGTGGAGTCATGGCTACGTCGCTGGACTCCGACCACGGTTTGAGTTCTGCACCCAGCAGCTTAAAACTCAGGCCGGGCGCGTGTGCGTGCGTCCCCAAAATCCTGAGAGGAGAATGGAGGAGAAGGGATTGCAGCGCGGCCATCCCCTTGGGGGATGATTTCTCATTTTCTATCTCTCTGTCTCTGGTGAGCACGTGTGCCCTATAGCAAAAGTCTAAAAGGAGAGAGAGCGAGCTCTCTACCAGCAGGCCATGGAGCCAGCCCTGTCTTGATCTTTGTAAGGGTGTGAAGTATAACGTGGCTTCCTGTGTGAAGGGACTTGTTGGCTATGCATACTGTGGTACGTAGTCCTGCAGAAAGGAATGCGTGTTCCCCACTGTGGGGAAGCTTGTAGCCTGTTCAGTCAGAGACAGGCAGGTGCATAAACACATTTACGCACCCCTGAACAAGGATACGTTTCGGGACTTGTCATTGGGCAGTTTTGTCACTGCGTGAACATGAGCAGCTAGCTGCCCTTCCACAGGCCCAGGTGGCAGGGCCCTCTGTCCCTGCACCCCCTCTGCACGTCCCGTGGCTCTCGGGCCCCAGCACAGCGCAGGAGGGATGCCCCACAGGAAGTGCACGGCTGTGCAGTGAGCTGCTGTGCCCTGCTCTTTGAGACTTTACCTGAGGGCTCATGTGTTCATAGAGGGGTGAGGGAGAGTGAAGTTATCCCCAGGGGGTACGGCCATGCCACAGTCCTTCATTCTCCCAGGACCTGGAGCGGGCACACACACATGTCCCTGGCATGAGTTTCAAGTCACCGGGTCCAGGTATCAAACCATGGTCAGCTGTGTGGGAGTCTAGCAATGGAACCGCCATGCCCTCTGCTGGTCCCTAGCATGCTTTTCTTTTCTTTTTTTGTTAAAAGAATTATTTTATTTAACTTTATTTATTTAATGATTTATTTGCTTTGATTTCACCAGAGAGGGCCAGAGCAAGTGAGTGAGAAAGAGAGAGAGCGCGAGCGAGAAAGCAAGCCGCCAGGCCCAGGACTTGAACCACGGTCGGCCATGTGGGAGTCCAGCCCTCCTAACCACCACACCACCTGCCGGCCCCTCAGCATGCTTTTCTTTACTCACGATAGAGCATGTGTGCACATGAGAGGCGGAAACGAGCACCCATCCCAGAGCGCAGCCAGGCTGTGGTCGCCTTCCCCAGTCCTGCAGCCTGTCACAGCCTGGGCCCTTTCGTGCACGGCTCCTGATGTTTCAGGCTGGCGGGGTCAGGGGTTCGAACTCACTCACCATGTGGGATCTGCTTCTCTTTTTATGTATTTATTTAATTTAACTGAGGAGGGACAGAGGGGGAGAGAGAGAAAGTGAGGAAGCCGCCGGGTCCAGGATGCTGCGGGACTGTTACCCACAAAGCCATAGAGCCAGACCCTTTATCTTCAGGTTGGTTTATTTTTATGAAAGAGAAAGGGGCCTTTACCCACAAAGCCATAGAGCCAGACCCTTTATCTTCAGGTTGGTTTATTTTTATGAAAGAGAAAGGGGCCTGCAGGTGGCGTGGTGGGTCAAGTGCTGGACTCTCAAATCCTGGGCCTGGGGGCTTGAAAATCACTCTGGAGGGACCAGCAGGTGGCGTGGTGGTTAAGGCGCTGGACACTCCCACATGGCTGACCAGGGTTCAAGTCCTGTATCTGGTGGCTTGCTTTCTCACTTTCTCTCTCACTCTCACCCTCTGTCTCTCTTTGGACAAATTAAAAAATAAATTAATGAATAAATAAAATAAATAATTATTAAAAAAAAAAAGAAAGAAAGAAAATCACTCTGGATACTTGGGCGTGTGTGTCCAGAAAGTCCCAGGAGGAGAATGGAGGAGAAGGGATGGTGGCGCGGCCATCCCCGGGGGTGTGAGTTCTCATCTTCCCTCTCTGTCATGCTCTGGCGAGTGTGCACACCCTATGGGTCCCTTGCTGTGGCTTTCGCCCCAGCCCTCCCGGCCAGCCCAGCCAGCCAGGATCACAAACACGCCTGCAGGTCCAGGTTAACCCCGGAACCGAGCCCCTGCACGTGTGCCCTGCTGGTGGGGCCCCCCCCCCCCCGCCCCCCCTGCCGCTGAAGCCAGCTTGCGACCACTGGGTGGCAGGAGGGTGCACAGCGCACCTGAGGCTGAAGGAGGGCCGCGTCTTCCTGGATGGGCTGAGAAAGGCTGGGGAGGGGGGAGGGGCATGAGAGCTGCCGGGAAAGCGCACCAGGTAGGGAGAGGGAGGTCGGGCGGGCCGGTGAAGCAGAGGGCAGACCAGGCTGGGCTGACGCTCTGCTCTGGGGGGCAAGGCTGCCTCTCTCCTAAGTGCTTCCTCCCTTTCCATGGACTGGCGCCTGGGGGGGACCACCGACCTCACGCTGAGCAGTCTTCTCCCCATTAACTGCAGGTACTGACCAAGAAGAAGCTGCAGGACTTGGTGAGAGAGGTGGACCCCAGTGAGCAGCTGGATGAGGATGTGGAGGAGGTGAGGGAGCCGGGTGCCCGGGGCCCATGTCCCCACCGCTGTGAGCACGCTACCCTCAGAGGTGCCCGCGGGAGTCTGGTCCTCGGCCTGAGCTTGACAGCTTGGACGCCGGGAGGTGTCGCTTGGGCTTTCCCACGTGGGAGGGCTCTACCTGCCGGTCCTTGGGAGGACTCTGTGGCCTAGTGTAGCCTCAGTCCACACCTCAGCAGCGGCTACCTTTGCCATAAGGAAACAAGTCGGTTATAATCTGGGCCAGCAGGTGGCAGCTGGGGCCACACAGCGAGTCCCAGCCCCAGCAGCTTGCCAGACATGCCGGGCACGTGTGTGTTTTTGTGGTGGCCATCCCCGCTGGGGGAGCTTTCTCACTGTCCACGCTCCGTCTCTGGGGAGCATGCATGCCCTACAGAGGGAAACCAGACGGACACAATCCCAAGCTTTTCCTGTGCTGAGTGCTCCTGGGATGGGCCGTACCTTGCCTCATCTCACTCGCTGTCTTGCGTTCTCGGAGGCCTTGTGTTCTGGAGGTGGGTGGCCTGGACTGTGGGGTGGGTCTGTGCCCGAGCTGGTCCGTTTCCGTTCTCCTTTGCAGAGTAGTAATGTCAGGAAAGGAAATACAGTTTACATCATGTAGCTCCATTGTCCTTTCAATTTTTTAAAAAGAATTATTCTAGTTAACTTTATTTATTTATAATTTGACCAGAGAGGGATAGAGAAAAAGAGCGAGAGAAAGTGAGAAAGCAAGCTGCCAGGTCTGGGACTCAAACCATGGTCAGCCATGTGAGGGTCCAGCGCCTTTAGTCACCGTGCCACCTGCCAGCCCCTTTCCTTTTAATGTTTTTAACCAGACGTAAAATACTTTCCCTCTTGCTGTGTATTAAGGCAGCATTATTGAGATATAATTCACGCATCGTAAATCCACCCACTAAAACTCACAGGGCAGTGAGCTCACTGTGCAGGGACAGACCGTGCGGCTGGCTCACAGGGCAGTGAGCTCACTGCAGGGACAGACCGTGCGGCTGGCTCACAGGGCAGTGAGCTCACTGCAGGGACAGACCGTGCGGCTGGCTCACAGGGCAGTGAGCTCACTGCAGGGACAGACCGTGCGGCTGGCTCACAGGGCAGTGAGCTCACTGCAGGGACAGACCGTGCGGCTGGCTCACAGGGCAGTGAGCTCACTGCAGGGACAGACCGTGCGGCTGGCTCACAGGGCAGTGAGCTCACTGCAGGGACAGACCGTGCGGCTGGCTCACAGGGCAGTGAGCTCACTGCAGGGACAGACCGTGCGGCTGGCTCACAGGGCAGTGAGCTCACTGCAGGGACAGACCGTGCGGCTGGCTCACAGGGCAGTGAGCTCACTGCAGGGACAGACCGTGCGGCTGGCTCACAGGGCAGTGAGCTCACTGCAGGGACAGACCGTGCGGCTGGCTCACAGGGCAGTGAGCTCACTGCAGGGACAGACCGTGCGGCTGGCTCACAGGGCAGTGAGCTCACTGCAGGGACAGACCGTGCGGCTGGCTCACAGGGCAGTGAGCTCACTGCAGGGACAGACCGTGCGGCTGGCTCACAGGGCAGTGAGCTCACTGCAGGGACAGACCGTGCGGCTGGCTCACAGGGCAGTGAGCTCACTGCAGGGACAGACCGTGCGGCTGGCTCACAGGGCAGTGAGCTCACTGCAGGGACAGACCGTGCGGCTGGCTCACAGGGCAGTGAGCTCACTGCAGGGACAGACCGTGCGGCTGGCTCACAGGGCAGTGAGCTCACTGCAGGGACAGACCGTGCGGCTGGCTCACAGGGCAGTGAGCTCACTGCAGGGACAGACCGTGCGGCTGGCTCACAGGGCAGTGAGCTCACTGCAGGGACAGACCGTGCGGCTGGCTCACAGGGCAGTGAGCTCACTGCAGGGACAGACCGTGCGGCTGGCTCACAGGGCAGTGAGCTCACTGCAGGGACAGACCGTGCGGCTGGCTCACAGGGCAGTGAGCTCACTGCAGGGACAGACCGTGCGGCTGGCTCACAGGGCAGTGAGCTCACTGCAGGGACAGACCGTGCGGCTGGCTCACAGGGCAGTGAGCTCACTGCAGGGACAGACCGTGCGGCTGGCTCACAGGGCAGTGAGCTCACTGCAGGGACAGACCGTGCGGCTGGCTCACAGGGCAGTGAGCTCACTGCAGGGACAGACCGTGCGGCTGGCTCACAGGGCAGTGAGCTCACTGCAGGGACAGACCGTGCGGCTGGCTCACAGGGCAGTGAGCTCACTGCAGGGACAGACCGTGCGGCTGGCTCACAGGGCAGTGAGCTCACTGCAGGGACAGACCGTGCGGCTGGCTCACAGGGCAGTGAGCTCACTGCAGGGACAGACCGTGCGGCTGGCTCACAGGGCAGTGAGCTCACTGCAGGGACAGACCGTGCGGCTGGCTCACAGGGCAGTGAGCTCACTGCAGGGACAGACCGTGCGGCTGGCTCACAGGGCAGTGAGCTCACTGCAGGGACAGACCGTGCAGCTGTCACTGCCACCCTTTATTTTTTTGGCCAGAGTGCAAGTACTCTCTCCAAAGACGGAGATCAGGGAGAGGGAGAGAGTATCCCCAATGGAGTAGTCTCTTCTTCATTTCTCCATCCTGTTGGGATTTTGGGATCAAATGCATACATACCTGGTGTTTTTGTTTGAGAGTTTTTTTGCTATAGGGCACATGCGCTCGCCAGACAAAGACAGAGAGACAGAAAGCGAGAAATCTCCCCCCAAGGGGGATGGCCATGCCGCAATCCCTTCCAGGAGAAGGATGCACACACGCCTGGTGTGAGTTTCAAGCCACCCACCGGGTCCGGGACGCCAACTGTGGTCGACTACATGGGAGTCCAGTGACATAGCCATTACGCTAACTGCTGGCCCCCATACCTGGTGTGTTTTTAAGCTACAAGGTCTGGGATTTGAACTGTGTGATCGGGTGTGTGGAATCCAGCTCCCTTAACTACTAGGCCACCAAGCTGGCCCAACCCTAGTCCACTTTAGGATATTCTAATCACCCCCAAAGGAACACACCCGACAGTAATCACCCTCCATGTTCCCTGACCCTCCTCAGCCCTAGACAGCGGCTGACCACTGTGCCTCGGGATCGCGTATTCTGGGCTTCTCGGGTAAACGAGCTCACACCAAACGTGGCCTCCTGTGGCCGCTGCTTTCATGCGAGCGGTGTTTTCAGCGGTCCTTGGTGTGGTAGCACGTGTGTCAGTATTTCATTCCTTCTCTTTCTTTTCCATTTTGCTAGAGGATGCGTGTGGAGAGAGAGAGAAATTCCCCTTCCAGGGGGCTGGCCGTACTGCAGCCCCTTCTTCAGTCTCTTCTTTATTTGTTTATGGTACATTTAATCACATATATCTTTTTTTTATTTGAGAGAGAGAGAGGTTTTTGCCATAGAGTGTACGTGCTCACCAGAGAGACAGAGGGAAAGCGAGAAATCACTCCCGGGATGATGGCCACACTGCAGTCCCCTCTCCTCCATTCTCCTCTCGGGATCTTGGGCACGCACGCACACGCGCCCGGCGTGAGTTTAAGCCACTGGGTCTGGGACTCGAACACAGTCGACTACATGGGAGTCCAGCGACATAGTCATTACACCATCTGCTGATCCCCCTAATCACACATATCTTTACAGTGTATAACATTTCTTTTTTCTAGCACGATTACCATGCATTTTTTTCAGATTATTATTATTATTATTCATTCTCCTTTTTTCTTTTTTTTTTCTTATTTATTTATTTATTTCCATTTATTATTGTTATTTTTAATTTGACCAGAGAGACAGAGA